ATACAGTATATGGTATACCCATAGTATACTAATGACGTACAGTACCAGCAACCTTCCATCAACCTACTAACAGCCTACCCATACAGTATATGGTAAACCCATAGTATACTGATGACGTACAGTACCAACAAGCATTGAGTTTTTGAAATGTGTTTCTAAGAAATAAAGTATTATTATTATTATTATTATTATTATTATTATTATTAACAAACTTTCAACAACTTAAAAAAAACCTAACAACTTCCCATCACCTACGAACAATGTAAAAAACTACAGTACCTACAGACAACCTAATTGTCAATTGACCTACAACCTTTAAAAAACTACCAACAACCTACCAACACCTATTTTGGGGCCCTTTTGTTTACTATTACCACATAATCACTTTGGTCTTAATTTTTATATGTTAGAGTTTTATGCACCTGTAAGGAAAATGGTATATATTTACACCTGTTTTACACAACTTCTGGGGTTTTAGATCATTATCTGGAGTATGTAAGTATAAAAATAACTAGTATAACTTACTGTTATAATTGCATATCCAGTTATGACTTTGTTTTTAATAAAAGCTACCCTACTTGCAGCAGTATTTTCTGTCCTAGCTCTGTTTTAGCTTAAAGTTAGGGGTCATATAAACACCCTACAGCCTCCAATCTACCTTAGACAGGGGAAGAAAAATTGGCCACCATTGGTAATGTTAAGAAAGCTGCAATTTATCGAAATCATATTTTTGACATTTCAGAGCAGCAGGGCTCAACTGCAGTAGTTTAACTAGTCAAACATTAGTGAATTTTTGACATTGGCTAAGGAATGCAAGCAATATTGACTAGTACAATTTTTGGTAGTAACTTGATTTGTCCCAAGTTATGATTTGTCCCCAGTCGTCTCTCACATATTTTCATCAAAGCATGCTAAGGGACACCACTGGTATATAGAGAAACGATCGGGACGAGTCAAGTCCAAGTCAATTATTATTTCCCTTCCCTATCCAGAATGTCTACAGTATATGACTATTGCCAATCTATTATTTCACTAAGAATAAGCCTAACAAAAAGGAATAATAATCAATAGTTTGAGTCCTGGTAAGTCAGCAGTATGAGCACCCCGTATATGTAGCTCATACTATCAATTAATAACATCAAAAACACCAACAATCACTACTACACACAAACAAACACTAAAAAAATAATTATAATGGACTTAAAATAACAGCTTGTGAAATCCTGACAATATCTGGCCAAAATTGGCACTTGTCAGGCTAAATGCCTCTTGAATCCTGCCTCTTAGGCTGGCCTTCTTGACTGGTCAAGCTGACTGGTCCCATGTTCATTGGTCTAATGTGGCCAGTCATGTTTGGCCATTCAGCCATTTTTTTAAGCCCAGATACACCTAATATTGAAAAAACATAGTCGGGTTCGAGAAGGTCATATCATCGAAGCTAAGACCAAAAAGGAATCATTTCGGGTACTCTGAAATGTGTATTATATTTGCATATAGACATGTAAAAATGCACAGTAGAGCAAAGTCGGTTGACCTAGATTAACAACATGCCAAAGCCATGATGCATAAAATGTGCACAGGAAGGGAAAACTGCAAAACGCATGACATTAGCATAATTGTTTGTCTTCCCATGCTCCCTTTCAGTCTTAGCTTTGATGATATAACCTTTTTTTGAACCCGACAACGTTTTTTCAATTAGGTGTACAAATAACTAAACACATTACATTTGACAATCAAAGTTCATAATTACTATAAGCATACCATTTTCCACAACTCTATATAGATGTTCAGTACCTAACGTTTCTCCAACACAAAATAATCATGTCTTGGAATGATAGGGTTCTTTAGATAAGAGTGTACTGCACCTCGGATATTAAGTTTATTCCTTGAGTAGTAGTCTATGATTTCAGGTACTGCGTCATATGGAAGGCTAAATTGACCAAGAACATATTTACCCTGTGCATTGACGGCAATTTTCAGATGCATAAAGGCATTGTTATTCCTGTAGAAGAACACATGTATGCATGAGTTAATATATTATTCCTTGCGTACAAACAATATATTGAAAAGCTTAACTAGCAAAGGCATAGGTATCACTAGGGTTAGCCTCCCATGCAGACGTCCTTAGCRTCATCAAGCAGCTTGCATGACAAACCCTTTAAGAATAACTACTCATCTTGAAGGCTCACACTTGGGAGTTGTCCTGATGGAAAAGCTTTTTAAAATACTGTTTTTTGAAGAAAGAATAGAGTGGGCAAGGGAGGGGAAAAAATGAAATGAGGAGGGGAAAAAAAAGAAAAAGGAAGTAGAAAGAGAGAAGAAGGGAAGGGAGGAATGAAAGAAGGGTGGGAAGAAAGCAAAAGGCATGAAAGTTTGGCTTATTGAAAACAAATAATTTAACTTACTTAAAAGAGAGTGAATAATCTTTGCCACTGCTTTCACTATCCCTGACAAGAAAGGAGCCATTTTCTTCATGCTTTAGTAAACATTCTGCTTCTACTCTGGTGATTGGCCCATGGTACCAACTGAAGTAATTAAAGAAGCATTGAATAAATGGGAAAGTAATTTCATCATATCAGTCATGTTTGCAATATACCTTAAGTTCTTACCAAACAAGTACTTTGTTTTGCAGGATACATTTTCCCGGGAAGGGGGGGGGGGGAACTCCCCTACATTTGCTATACGGGTAGTGCCGCCAAACAAGGTATGATTTTCAGAGATTCTACTCTGGAATGCAGGGTATATGAAATCACGCTCTCTCCCCTCTGGAACAGGGTATCCATTTTCGCAATACCAGAACAGGTTATGATTTTCAGCGATCTTGCTCTGGAACAGGGTATGAATTTCAGCAATTTAACTCTGGAACAGGGTCAGGGTTCAGAGGCCTCAGCGGCATATCCCTACCCTAAACGGGCAAGAGTACCCCCTGGGTATACTTTACAACCATCAATTCACATAAGTGGCTGTTCTGTGAGGTTCACTCCACCACACTAGTTACCACTATGCATTTACATTCATTATTTATGTGTACAACTCAACTTTATATTTATTTTTACGAAGGGAAGAAGACAGGGGAAAACCCAAAGAAATACCCCTGAGGCTTAGGAGACAGGGTCAGATCTAGAAGAGGGGTGCAGAAGGAGTGCACCCTGAACCCCCTTCCCCTCCCCTCCAGGTGAGCTGATATCTACTGCTATATCGGTGTTTGAGTTTGTAAGGAAAGGGTGCAACCCCTCCTAAAACACAAATCCTGGACAGTGCACCCCCTCCCCCCCCCTATGACCCCCCTTAGATGAGCTGATATCTACTGCATTTTTAGTATTTGCGTTTGTAAGCAAAGGGTGTACCCCTCCTAATGCAAAAATCCTGGATGTTGCACCCCCTCCTAAAATAATCCTGGATCCACCCTTGGGAGAACAACACATCAAACAAACTCAACTCACATGTGACTCAACAGGGAATTCAACCCATGACCCACCCATGATCAATATAGCTATTTCATTACAGTACCTTTGCTTTTCTAATGGTAAAGACAAATCAATTGTAAATGTCAAGTCATCGTCAATACCAACTCTTGAGGGTTTTGGAGGTATAGAGGACCCATCAGACTTTGCCTGTTCTTGAGCCATAGACACTAACTGACTGGTTCTCTTGTTATATTCCCAAGGAGCATCATAATCGTTTTCGGGTCTTGAGTCAACAACAGGTACCTGTGTCGTTGATTGAGTGTTCGTAGGATTTGGATCTGAAACTGGGCCATTGATGTATTGATGCATTTGTTGTTTTGCAGTCCATTCCCATGGTTTGTCATAGTCCTCGCACGGACGTTCATCTGATAAAGGCATTTGTCCTACTTTGGCTTGTGTTTGCTTTATTATTGATGTCTGTGACGGCAAAATCAAACCTTTACTCTCCCATGGTGATGCATAATCATCAGTAGGTCTGTTGTCTTCAAAGTGTGTTTGAGGTCTRAGGATATCAATAATGATTAAATATTAAAATCTTAAAACTTAATGATCATACAGTATGATAAATAAAAGTGCTTGGCCTACTGGGGATGTATACAAAAGTATGTGTACACATATGGGGTTTTAAAGTCAGTAATGGCCAGTCAGTTGCCAGTCAGTTGCCGGTCAAGTTCTACGTAAATCTGGCCAGACATTGTCTGATAACTAGCTGATACCTTTAGCCCTGCAAGTATGCATTACAAAAGTAGATCTTGGGTAAACTTGGCTTCGTCATCCTACCCCTTCCCTCTGTTTTAAGTTTGTTGATTATTTTAATGAGCAGCATATGCATAGTTATAGCTGTAACTGGTTCAACCGCATTATGCAACTTACGTGTACTTTATGTTCTGGTCATGTTCAGCATTACCAGCAGATGGTAGTCTCATTCCTCTAAGAGAAAGCCTTTTTGCCTGCTCGTCCAGTGCCGTAACTTTACCACTGTCGTATGGTTCAGTATAGCTATCATCATCTGAATCAGGCTTTTCCTGGTTGAGATTCTGTGGTCCTTTTGYATCCCAAGGATCGATATACTCATCCTTTACTCCAGTCTTCTTCACTTTTGGCTTTGTTATATGGCCTGGTCTTGAATCCCATGGATCTGAGTAATCATCGATCTTCCCCTTTGCCTGTGCTGGCCTAGTCACATCAACAGGGTCACAATAATCATCTGCCGTCATTTTGGGCTTCCTTTGCTTGGCATCCCAGGGATCACAGTAATCATCTACTGGCTATCAGGTCAAAAGATGAAATATTTCAAGTAAGTTTCTACAATCTGGACTATAATGAAGAAATAGAAAACGTGCTTGCTTGCTGTAAGCAGTTATAAAGCACGGGGTTCGCAGAACACTCGAGAAGTGTTAGGAGAAGCACGACTCATAGCAGAGTGCTTCTGGACACTTCTCGAGTGTTCTGCCAATCCCCAAGTGCTTTATGACTGCACACAGCACAGCAAGCAAGTTTTTTTATTTCTTTTATAAAATACAAATTACTATAACCATTACTTTAGATAGGAATGATGCAACTGAAAGTGCTCAGGTGTGCTGTGTGCTCTCATAAAGCATGTGCTTCTCACCAATCAGAATGCAAGATTTATAACAGTTATTTTATAAAAAACTCATAAAATGTTTAACAATTGTTTTCTAAAAGCAAAGTGATTATCAAGATGAAGTTGAGGTTAATATTATCATGAAACCTGAGGCAAATAACCATTTTAGCACAATTTTAGACTTGAATATCAGAAAACAGGGCTTAAAATAACAACTGTTAATCAGACAATGTGTGGTCGGAATAATTGAAACATGTCGTTTATATACTGTATCTCCCTTACTGCCAGTCATTAATTTTGACCAGTAACATTTAACAAGAAACTCAGGTTTGACCAAGCTACAACTTATTTGGCTGATTGCTATGATAGGGGACTTTTCTTAACCCTGAAAAAAAGACGAAATTCAGGATTTAACTTTTTTTTTGTCAATTACTTCCACTATGACGATTTCATTTCTGCTCACAACCAATGTCCTCTCATAATCACTGGTTGTTCGACCAATTAAATCATAGTGCACAAAACTCTATATTGAAGTCTAAATTTATATTAAATATGCATCTAGATATAACAAAGGCAAATAGTCTAAATTTTCAAATACCTTCACTTGGGAAAGTTTCTCAGTTGCATTAATTCTTGTTAAAAAAAGGATGTTTGCACACTATTTGTGTGGATAATAAATTAAATGTAATAATGTTGATATAATAGGGTTAACGATAACAAAAGGGTGAGTAATTTCTTAATATAATATTATTAATACCAATAATAATATATTTTCGATCCTAATAATTTAAGTGATCTGTATCATTCATTAATTTGTAATAACGTTGAAACATAATAACGCAGATATAATAGGGTTAACGATAACRAAAGGGAGAGTAATTTCTTAATATGATATTATTATAATCAATAACGATATATTTTCGATTCTAATAATTAAAGTGATCTGTATTATTCATTAGCAAGAGCAAGGTTTTGAGGTACCCTTGAATCCTGTAAAGATTGAGATCAACTTTGTCAACATAGTACAAGCAAAGGCAACTGTTTTTGAGAAATAGCCTGCACCAACACAATCCGAAAACAAACAATTAAACAAAAAGGAAAGTAATACTGCACATAAGTAACTTTTTGTGTGCTAATAATATTATATGATAATTATGCACTGGAATGGCACATGTCATAACAAATTTTTACGCCAAAAGAATAAAAAAAGGAAAAACGTTTAACGTATTTCATAATTTTTATACTTTCCTAATTTAAAACATTTGAAATTTTGGATAAGCAAACACTAGGTTATTTGACACAACTGGAAGTAAACATGTGGACCAAGTCGCATTATTGTATTAAAGGTTTCCTGGATTGAAATCAAAACTTAAATAAGCTAATATTTCTTTCATGGTAGATTGTTTTACGAAATAAGCTAAATATAATAAGAGTTAATGATTCATGTTTCACTATGTAATGAGCCCTCGAGTTGTATGACAGATGGGCTTATAGCTTGTGTTTGTCAAATTAAAAAAATAAAACACTTAGAACGGCATTGATTCTTTGATATATTTGCTAGATCCACTACTTGACATCTACAAATAAAATTGCTAAATATTAAGGAAAACCACAAAGCAATCAGTGGACTACTAGTTATATAAGTAGCGTGCGAAAATCAAAACGTCGCCAATAAAGAAGTTCGTGTAATAAATATACATGCATGTGATTTGACTAATAAACCCATGCTAAAGTACTAACCTTTGACTGATTTCCCTCAGCATTCCGTTGCGTTCTTACGGGTCTTGGTTTGATAGGAGGTTTATAGCCTTCTCCCTGATTGCGATACTGTGATCGAAAAGTATTATCTACTGGTTTGGGTGCGATGCTAGGATGGTTAGGTCTTGGGGGCGGATAGTTAGGCATTTTAGAGCTCAAACTTCCAGAACTTTGGGGTATAGCAGAGTGACATATGGATGGATCCATGTAACCCTCCTCTTCAGAATCGTCGTAATCTTTTCGCGGTAGTTCAGGCGGTTTTTTACTACCGAATTTAAACAGCTTCCCTATGCCCGCCATCTTGGACGTGCTCTTTTGCAATGATCACTCTTCCGGAAGTGACGACAAATCAGTGGTTTATCCAAACACACGTGATTTCTGCGAAAGACCGGAAGTAAGTAAAGATTTAAAAAATTTCTAATTGTGGTTTCTCGCTGATTTGGATCTGCTGTCGAAGCTGACGCAAATGTATTGTGACTCAAGAGTCTTCATTGAGCATGTATGGGTCTGTAAACCACATGTTCACGTATTTATAGACTCTATGAAGTAGATAAATTCAGACCAAAGTTGTGGCGCTTAACATAACAGCCAATCGGCACATCAAAGTACGAATTCAGTTGATATTATCATTTTAAAGCTCTTTGTATTTTTATGTGCTATAGAAAAAACTGTAATTTTAAGGCGCCATGGGTTTGGCTTCCATCGTTCAAAAAATCCCAATCTCAGACAATCGTAAATTTAATGACCGGAAACCATCAAAATACGTGAAAACGTGCCGCGATGAAGATGAAAAGCGATCTAATTATTTTCGTTAATATTAACGGAAATCATCAAATCTCGTATTTAAATTAAACAGTAGATGGCGCCACTGTCTTGCAGTTTCCGGATCTTCATGGAGTCTGGGACAAAAATATTTATCGATTCCGGGATCCATAATGACCGTACGTCATGAAGTCACGAGAGGTCAAAAAACTGTTTCATCTTGTGGTATAGTAGTTGAACAATGCCGGAAACTGGAAAAGTAAACGTAACTGCGACCATTCCGTTGGTTCGATATATCTTCATATTATCGTCTTTTATGATCCATGATGTTACGAACCCGATTTTCTAAGAAAAAAATTGTACGTCTAGCAACAAAAATATATTTAAAGGGACTCTGAGGTCCCTGACAGATCATAGGTTAAAGAATGTACATCAAACCTTGTCGGGTTTGAAAATCTAAATAAAAATTCCATCAAATGTGATTTTGGGGGTGAAATCGTCCGCCAAACTTGGGAAATGTCTTAACGGATTCCCGCACTACTAGTTTTCTTATCAGATCTAACATGTTTAGACATCTACCAACAGTCAACTGAAACCACATTAAGTTATTGGAATTCAACAAAACGTAATACAAGGACTGTACGCCGATGTCTCCCCTTTTACAAAAAGGCGGCGGAACGAATTTAAAACTGTGCGCGAAAATTTCTATCTGACTTTGACGGATACCTCTTCTTTAGTAGCAACAATCTCGATCAGCCTACGAAGCAGAAATGAAGTCAAAATTTTCAGCGGAAATCGAATTTGGCCTGATTTGGACGTCTTACAAATAAGAAAAAGAAATATCGCAAAACAGCAAGCAAATTACAAGGCATTATCACATATAATATTAAATAATAGATTTATTTCTACGATATATTATGTTGAAAAATCTAAATAATTATTTAGGACCATCATTCATCATCTCTCATATCACTGACGGCAAGCTAGAAGAAAAAGAGAAAACAGGAATGGTGGTAGGACAAGGTTATCTACTTGYGTTGTCCATGCCTCGAGCAATGAAGCCGCCACCGTGGCTAGAATGACTGGTATCCAGTGAAATATCTGAACCACACCTGTTTGAAAACAAAGCAGAATTACCAGCTGATCTAGACTGCGAGCTAAGTCCCTCTATTTCCCTTGGTCACTGTCCGTCTGTCTGTCCGTKTCGATTGGTCGAGGAAGATTGGTTACGAGTCAAAAGTCCCTGGGGGAGGGGGCAGTGACCAAGAGAAATAGAGGGACTTAGCTCGCAGTCTACAGCTGATCTGAACGTAGAAATGGCGTCCCTGCAAAACTGAGGTGTCGTSAAGTCATGATCATTCTTCATCATAATATTACTCCCATCATCACCCTCTTTGTCGTCCACCAAAACCTACTTTGTTGTGACGGCAAATTGTACTATTTTCAGSGAGTGATTGGAAAGCGCTGTAAATATTTTTTGCCAATTAGCTATTGAGATGTTGAGTAAAGAATCATGGGTTCTAGTTGACATATTTCCAAAATGGCGTCTATTTTGTCCCCTAAAACATTCCCACAATGCAATGCAATGCCAACTCGGCCCAATTTGTTCCTCAGAATGGCTAATATACCGCTAAGTTTTTTCTAAGTTATAAACCTTTTTGGGGAGGGGAGGGGAGGGGAAGGGAGGGGAGGGGAGGACGTACCAGTTTGTGCTAAAAAGAAGATGCAGATGATTTGAGCGATAACACCAGCTGCTGTGCCTTCAAGGGTTTTGGAGGTTCCTAAAAATGCATTAAATAGGAYAATTTAGTACAAACAATCATTCTTACACTATACAATTGTTGGACGAGGTTGAGCATTATATCGTAAATTATCAAGACCGAGGCCGTGTTAGGCTAAGGCGGAYTTAACGGCTGAGGTCTTGATAATTTWCGATATCATTCGAAAACCGAATTCAATAATTGTTTTATTATACATTTGTAATCTAAGAATAAATATTTCATTCTGTTTTCAAAGAAATGGCAAACGTATTTCAATCTCCATTTCGACCTTTAATGAATTTTGACATGATAAAAGCAATATGTGCAGGAAAACCTACCGATATCGTATTTATCATGTGTCGTGTTCACACGATATCAGGGATTGGCTGTAGGCTCTCGGCCAATGAGAAGAGAGATAATGAGTAAAAAGGAAAATAATGCCATTCAAGTTTTTGGTCGGACCACGACTTGGGACTAGTCATTTSTAATAGTGTGTAATAGTAGGGGATTAAAATTTCACTCAAACGGAGGGGGRAAAATTATCCCAATACTACAGGAGCCAATAAAAGGCAAGAAAAATGTTGAAAATACGGCGTCCCCAATTGAGAGCTCCAATAATCAGAATGAAATTAAATCCGTATAAATGTTTTTAGTTATATACAAACTGTTTTGTGCGTGTGTTTTGTTTGTTTGTTTTGTTTTTTGTTTTTCGTTGTTTTTGTTGTTTTTTGTTGTTGTTTTTGTTTTGTTTTTTCGTGTTTTTTTGTTTTGTTTTGTTTTGTTTTGTTTTGTTTTGTTTTGTTGTTTGTCTTGGTTTTGTTTTGTTTTGTTCTTTTTGTGTGTGTGTGTGTGCAAAAGTGAAAGAGGGTAATAAACATCCCCCTCACGACCCTTGGATCCCCCCCTGAACAAAAATATTTTTTAATCACTTGCCTGGCCATTTGTGACGGCCAAGACTTTTCCCTACCACAGACGCAATAGTGTCACCAACTCCTAACGATAGAACACCTGCATGTACAGCCAATAGACATCCTGAGAAAACAAATAGGAGATCAATAAATGGTCAGTACAAGAAAAATCGCATTCTTTGCATGAAGAAATTAGCTATGATTGCGTCAATGTCTTATTAAAGGTTTGAATTACATACTTTTTCATCACAATGGCCAAGTATATTTTCGTACAGCTATTCCCTACTAGCAAGTATTCATATTATTTTTTTTTACAAAAAAAAAAAAAAAAACCATTCGCAACAAAATTTACTCGCCAACGCTTGTTAGTAAGACTGCGCATGGACTGTGCGCACAGCTTATCCCTACTAATAGCAATGAATTCGTTATTTCTTTTCGAGACAAAATTAGCTTACCAACACTTGCTAGTAAAATTGCGCATTAGATTTTTTGTTTTTTTTGTTTTGGAAAAGTGGAAACGAAATAAAGGAAATGAAAAGAAAAGAATGGAAGAGGAAATGAAAGAAACGAACTGAGAACATACTAACCATTCTTATTGATATTTGACAAATCTYCCGGGTACAGCCATAGCGGTGCAGCACAGCCAACCAGTAGATAGATATGAGATAGTATGACAGGACCAGTATCTTTTTCATTGAAAAACACTTGTAAACCATGATGTAATGTTTCACCCATCGGTGCAACTCTTGAGATACGTATATACTGAAAATGGCACCAAACAAAAAGTTGTAACAAGAGGATATTTGCTACTTGAAATATGGTGTTAATACCGAAGAAGACAGTTTCTACAAGAGTCAGATTTGATGGATTTTGACAAGAAACCTTAGTGTTGWCATTATATTTTGCAATGCTCAATTCTCCGAAAAATGTCAGTTGTCAATACTGCGGAATTCACAAATTCGCTGAGTGACCACAAAACAATAGCTACAAGTTGGAGTTTGAGTTGATAAAATACAGTAAAGGTATGAGCACATTATTACTATCATTACAATTACTWGCTTACAAGTTGAGCGTTTTGATCTAACTACATAAACTAAGGCAGAGCTAGGTTGACCATATTTCCTAGATTCAAATTTAAATTTTGACTGTAATTCCCCCTTAAACCTACGGCAAAAAAAAGAAGAAAAAAAAAAGTCAACCTCAACTTGGAGCCAATCGAGTTGTTGGTAAGAGATTTTGGGAAAAGTCTTTTACATTCTGATGGATGCTACAAGTAAACTCCTCTCACCTCTAAGAATATGAAGACAGCCACAGCAGCTGATGCAGCAAGATGAATGAGATTAGGTTCATATACAAAACCAGGAAGAAATACAGCCATAGCAGAAAGATGAAAGATCTTGCGAATGACAGTTCTGGACCAAGATATGTTGCTGGTATAGTTTTTCCAGACAACGACAGTGATGGAGAACAACACCGTACATGACCAATAGATTATTAAATTAGACTGGAAAAAGAGAAAAATCAGCAGGATATAGACCTTGTTCATGTTTTCAATCAGTACAGTCTGGCATTTATGAAGAAGACTGGGAAATGCTTAGGTAAACGTGCCCTCCACAGTGCTTCTCTGCATGGGGTTGAGTAACAAAGGGTAGGGTAGCCAATGGGTAGGCTACTGGCCAAGGAGTTGGGTAGCCAAATTTTGGGGTGACTTGGGGTGGGGTGGCTAATGGGTGGGGTGGCTTATGGACAGGGTGGCTTATGGACAGGGTGGCAAATTGGTGGGGTGGCTAATGGGTGGGGTGGCTAATGGACAGGGTGGTAAATGGGTGGGGTGGCCAATGGGTGGGGTGGCAAGGGTGGGGTGGCAAAGGAGTTGGCTACTAGCTAAGGGGTAGGGTACCCAAGGGCTAGCATGGCCAAGGTGTGGGGTGACGGTTAAGATGGTCAAGGGGCCACTACACAGGCTGGGGCAAATGATGAGTCACAGTTTTAGTTTTGGCAGCACTGTTGGTCAGTGTGTTTTCAGTTTATATTTCTTTTTTAATCAGACCAAAGTGCAGTCAAGAATGCATAAAAGGGTTCGACATGAGGTGCAAACTTTGCGTGCACACAGCACGCACACGCACTTTCAGTTTCGTCATTCATGTAATTTGTATTTTATAAGAGAAATAATAAACTTGCTTGCTGTGCTGTGTGCAGTTATTAAGCACTTGGGGATTGGCAGGACACTCTAGAAGTGTTGAGAAGCACTCCACTACATATCGTGCTTCTCCTAACACTTCTCTCGTGTTCTGCCAAACCCTGCGTACTTTAACTACACACAGCAATCACATGCGTTTTCTATTTCTTCAATCATTATCTTACCCTGGTTGAGTTATAGGTTATGTGGTGAATCATCCAGGTCAGCGGATTCACCCCACCAAGCATGAGCAGTGACCATGGGAGTAAAAATGATATRAAGAACAGAAAAATAACAATATAGAATGATATAGTACCAATCCACATCTCTAGSGTGTTTCTAAAGAAAGCAAGATTTTGAAACCAAGTCAGTATTTGATAGATGTCGGGTCATTAGGAACRGTGTCACAGTTTACTATTTATTTAACTTCTTGTCATTTTATCAATCATCCCTCACACTTTGTAMATGATGGGTAACTTCAAACATATCTGATGTGAGTGAGATGGGCAGTTCTGGCAGCATAAGAAAAAAAACTTGTCATTGCTAATAACCTTGAAAGTACATGAGTGGTGCAGCTCAACAGGGTAGAACTGAAAGCATGCAAAGGTGCCTTTGGCAGCCTCTATACAGTCCATGTATGACCCCAGAGCACAACGTTAACCAGTTTGAATTAGTTAGTCAAGAGTTGATTTGAGAGATAATTGTAGCTTTTAAGTTTTCAAGTAATATGTGAAACAATAGTGGGGTCTTTCCTAAAATCATTGCTCCAATGTTTACGTTTGATAATAATAACAATGGGAGGTTCTTATATGGCACATTTTACATTGGTCTCAACGCAGTCTTTAAATCTGTGATCAGTGGAGGACTTTATGGGCTGCATATTAAAATGTTTTAATGTTTGTGATCATACCTCCTTGATATTTGACATACCTGACAATACTAATATAATAAAACACAGGAAGTAAGAACAGTCCAGTARTGAGTGAACCAACCACAAGAATCTGAAATGGTTTATAACAAACATATATCACATGTGTAACTATGATGGATTGCATATCAAAATAACACAGTCAGTCAGTTGGTCGTCTATCAGGTGGACAGTCAGTTAGTCAATCCATCTGCCTGTCAATTTCTGTATCAAGGGCAAACTTGAAATCAAAAGACATTCTTAAAATTGTCCATCTGCACTGCAGTACATATTATTCTTTTTTTTTAATTACACCCTTCCTTTATGTCTCTACACTCATGCCAAACTAATCCACCATTAAATAATATTGCTTGATCAATATTGATTTTGGTGCTGAAACAGTATACAAAATAGAAACAAACCTGTAGCCAGTAGGTGTATATGCTTCTTGATATACTTTCAACTGGAGCAGGTACAGTTGGTATTACATAATGCAGCTAGAAAAAGAATCAGTAGCTGTAGAAATTGCAGATCTATTTAATTTGGCTTGTCACATATTTTCTCCTATTTCATAGATAAGCACAGTCATATGTCCCAACTTCAATAACATTGATTACAATTACTTAATGAATACAGTTAATTGTATATTTATATTATGTTTACTTCTATTTTATTTGTAAATATTTTACCATTCAACCTACCTACATTAGTTTTACTAATTGCAGGTTGATTGATCAATGCAAATTTTATACCACTTTTTGTACTAAAATTTGAATTTTTTCTCTTTGAGAAATTAATGTGCAAATATTGCCCAGAGGCCTGAATGATTTTTAGGAAATAGAAAGATGAAAAGCATTATTTTTTAATATTTACTACATATRTGTTTACCCTGTTTCCAAGACACATCCAGGAATCCACAGCAAGAAAGAGACATGCCTGGACAAGCACCATTGCTTCACCCAAAGTAAAACTCTTTGGAAACAACCATATGACAAAGAAAAGTAGGACAATATAGGTGATGATTAGGCCCAAGAGGCTGGCTATACTGCTACCTAGAAATTAGCAAAATATTACCCTTTACATTCACATAACAAATACAATTTGAAAAGGAGTTGTTTTTTTGTTGTTGTTTTTTTTTTTGGCAAAACACATGTAATATAAAACATGATTTAAAAGAATATCACTCTTTCTATAATTGCTACACACTTTGATGATTGGTAGTCTATTGACCATTAACCTGGAATGACATTGTCTCGATCAACCCATATAAAGACAGGTAATAATAGTTCCAAGTACAGTATTGTTGAAAGACAAATTGGGCCCCTGCAGTAGCTTAGGGTAATACTGTCGCGTACGGTAGAAAAATTATTTTAAAAAGTAAATAAACAATGATAACCACTTAGAATACATGTACCCCTAAAAAGTTTTTGTAAAGTTGTGGATATGATGAGAAACTCTAAGGATGAAAGGCATACAGTATATGCGTGTTTATTGGTGGGACCTTATCAAATATACTTAATGCGTTAATTMATATAAGAGCAACTTTATATACCTACCCAATTGGTTATTAACAGTTGCAGCCATAGAAATAGTGACAATAATCATCAGCATCCATGAGAGTAGCCTTCTTGACTTGTTTAACAGGAGACATATAGAGACTACAGACATGCTCATTAACTGTGATACCAAGAGGTAGTACTCAAGTGATGCTGCAGATTAAATTGAAATTTATACCATTATATATAATATATATATATATTACATGACCCATGTTGTACATACCATGTTGGCAATCACGAAACTGTCACTTTAATTGTACAAGCATGAAATAACATCCACAATATTATTGGCAATTGAGTGATGTTCCACACAGCCAGTACCCTTCATATCCATAATTTGTAACATAATGCAAGCTGGGTCATCTCCTCTCTCTCTCTCTGACACAAAAGAAGACCGCCTGATTATTTACCCACTTTAATTTGTTAATAATATCATGTTTACCTGATAAATGTTGTTTACTTTCAGTTGCTCTAGATTTAAGTAAAGTTATTTGACTTGTTAAAACCATTGGCACTAGAAGTGAACCAAGCTCAATACCAGATTTCGCACCAGGCCTGTATTGAAAAACAATATTATTTTTTTACACCATATCCTATATTACTTACGGATGTCAGCGAACTGCCRATCCATTCCTTTCTTCATGTGTCCGCATCCTTTGATATTTTTCTTTCCCACAAATTATCAAAAGGATGCCGACCCTTGGAGAAAGGAATGTAGATTAAAAGTGTGATGTTTATGTGTGGAGTCTTAATAGTTTGCAGGCATAATCATGGCAAATGTTTTGTCTCAGCTCAGCAGTTCGCTGACAATATGACGTCATAGATTTGCATCCACTGCCAAATTGCACTGAAAGCTCGGTACCTCCCACAATTTTACTTATTTACAAAACATGTCATTATTCACACAAAAATGTAGTCAATCACCCAAGTTCCACATCATCCACACCAGTAAATATTAATTTTTCTGTGGTTTATCTTGATGTGAGGTTATTTCTGAGCGTGGGTTACCTGTAATGTAGTATGCTCGGTCTATGTTATGAGGTTTTAAGTGTTGGTGTTGCCGAATTATGTTCCAACCAGTTTAAGAATTTTTAGCAGTTGTTAGCACTTCTATATCGTGTGTGCTGGATATATAGATTATAAATATATAATCACAATACCTGAACTCCAAGCTCGCAAGTYCATCTGTGTATTTTAGGTACCTTGATGATTCCAAAAACAACACTATAATTTAAATAAAAGAAATAATTATTGAGTTTTATCATCCCGGTGAGTGCAGACATAACGTTTCCGAATGTCATCAACATATAAACACTTACGAATGATGTGGAAAAAAACATATCCTATTCGCTGTCTCAGCTCATAATGGCTGAAAAACACAAGCAGGCTGCTAGATATAACTAAGAAGGACTCTTTTGTAATGCTCATCGTTAAAAAAATAGAATGAGATCCTAATTCAACCAACTTCGTCCGCCATTTTGTAAATTGATAGTACCACAGGTAGCCCGAGCTTCGTATTTTTATCCTTGAACTAGGGTGTAATAGCTTAGTTCACACATTTCTTTTGCTAAACAAAAAATAATAACATTTATGAATACAAATATATATATATATATATGTATGTATATATATAAACCCATTGCTTTTGTTTATTTTCGTGCTGTTTTTGAAGTGAAATTGAAAATTTTATACCAATGTTAATTGGGTGGTCACTAAGCAATTTTCCACAGGGATCCCTCACAAAATTGAAAGCCTTGTGACGGTGACCTTCCATTGTATTATTATTTCGTGTTTACCTAGTATTTTACTCAATAAGCATCCCCGTTTTAGAGTGAAATGACGTCTTTTGGGAGCGCTTTACTTATAACGAAAATCAGCAAAGATAAGCTTTTGGCGTAGCCGTTCTCTTTAGTACGTAAAAATAGGACATTTCACGTCTTACTTTCAGCATAAGACGGCAATGATGCACAGTATTTCGTACATTCCAACGAGTATCTATTGAATAGCGCAATTAGTGCTATTGTATGTTTGCCGTCGTAGTTGCCGTTCTGCAGCTTAAGGTCCCTAGTAGAACCCAGGAACCCAGGAACGCAGGGACGTAGGGACGCAGGGACGCAGGGACGCAGGGACCGAGAGCTTTTTAAAAGAGTGAGGAAGGGGGCTGAAGGGGAAATGAAGGAGCCTATTTATTTTGTCGAGCATGCGCAGTAAGAAATAAAGGCTCTGGGTACGCAATCTCGTACCCARAGCCTGCGTTTCTTCTGGCCTGCGGCGAAGAACGAGGGCTCTGGCATAATCCATTTTTTGAGACCAGGATTTCTTGGACTTCCGGTATAAGAGCGCTTCAAAAAGGCTTGCCCAAAATAAAATATGTTCCCGATTTCTAATTCTCATTTTGAACGGAAGTAAACACAGAACTCTGTTTGAAAGCATGATTTTCGATGATTAATTTTTAATATCTGGAAAACTGCGCATGCGTCACAAAATAGATTATGCCAAACCTCGTTCTTCGCCGCAGGCAAGACAAACTTGCTTCAAGTGCATGCAGAATTGGATATATACGCGCCCATATAAGCATTATCCATTACTYCTATAACGCAGGCGTTCATTTCGTACAGTTCCGCTTCAATTTACGCGCGCAAGCACAAAATGAGGTGAAAATTTCAAAATTCCTTTCAACAAATGTCACAATGAATTTTAATATTTTTCATCACAAATTTACAACAACAAAAAATCCAAAGTGAATTTGGAAATTCCTAATTCCGGAAAGTTTTTATGTTTAAAAAAGACGTATCAAGTAAAGTTTGAAAGCGATTTTTGATTTCAGCGCGCGAGCGTGCACAAAATTACCTGCGCATGCGTGCCTACATTTCTTGTTCATAGATATCCAGCCAATCAGAGCGCGAGTTATTTCTTGGCTATGTTATAAATATTTTTTACTTCAGGAAAAATAGCTTATTACTTTTATTTTCTTAGCAACGTCTTTAGCGAGCAGGACTGCGCAGTGATGTGTGTGATCTTAACAAACTCGTCGTTCATGATCGATATAAACAAACATTACGAAGATGTTATCAAAATTCTCTTGTTATGGTTTTATCCACTTATTTTTTCTTATATTCCTTTGGCTGTATTTCAGTTTTAGCTTTAAAGATTATTACAAGTTTTATAAATAGCGCGTAAAGTTTTAAAATAGGTTGATCATTTGGCATTTTAATTTACAAACTGAATCTCATGCTTAAATCTTATTACCGGCCTTCACCTAGGGGCAAACACTGTCCCATCCGCAATCGATATCATGCAAAGTTCCACACAAAACCGGAAATGACGTTGATTGCGTGGCCCAAAGGAGACTGACGTCATCGTGAGTTCTCAGTAATGTGCGAAAAGGAGATTCATGACCTTGTGACGATGGACAAATAAAATCAAACACAGGAATCCCACTCATTGCTGGTAATCCAAATTTGCTCAAGCCGAGTACGGATTTCTTTAGCTCTTCGTTTCCAAATAAACGACTCTTGAAAACACATATCAATAACGACGCTGATCTAGGTATAGATTAAAAAAACTTTTGTTAAATTGTGGTTACGTATTCGTGTATGCCTTTAATTATTGTGACTAATTTTTATAATTGTTTATTATTGATATATKTTTTACATTAGAGTTTGAATTTATAAGTCATTTGACGTATTTATGTTGGTATAGGGTAAAATTAAAATATGTTCTGTTTTTTTTTTTACATGCAGAGGTAATTATTTAGTTATGTATTGCATTTATGGTAAAAAGTATTTATTTATCTGCCCTGCCCTGCCCTGCCCTGCCCTGCCCTGTAATTATATGATTATTTGTTGCATTTATGGTAAAAAGTATTTATTTATCTGCCCTGCCCTGCATAATACTAACCTGTTGAAAGTCTTCTGTATATCCACAAGAGTCAAGCATTTGCTTCATAAGGGTGCCAACTTGTACTATGTCTAATTTATAGGCTTCATCGGCTTTAGTGCCGGACTTCACAATACTAGCCTTGTCGAATCCTCCAACTAACGCTTTAATCGGAGGAATCTGATTAAAACAAACCAATATTATTTTCTTGAGGCAAAATGAAGCGGAAAACCCCAGTTATTCGCTTTACAGTACATAAGAAGGAGATTCAGGACCATGCAACTACTTGCCATTCCAAGGTTGAGGGGGGAAAACTGGGTCGAGTCGGCATTGCAATGCCTTGTGGGACGGATTTAGAGGACGAGATAGACGGCATCTTGGGAATAGTGCAGTTTTCGTATGACTGTGAAAAGCTCAGTGCCGTGCCGTGACCGTGATGTTTTCTAGAACTTTAATTGGCTGATTTTTTTCTCGCGCAATGTGATTGGTCTGAAAGTGCCGTGACTTTGGCGTGACCGTGTCCGCGTCGTGTTAATGCCGTGTTCCTGGTATTTGATTGGATGGAGAGTGAATTCTCGAGCAATGTGATTGGTATGGCGTATCCCTAGCCGTGTCAAGAACGTGTTCGTGCCGTGAGCTTTTCACAGTCATGCAAAAACTGTTCTATATCCCGTAAAATAGAGCCACAATGTATTTCATTGCCAACTCGACCCAGTTTATTCCTCGACCTCGGAATGGCTTGTAGCTGTCTTCTTTAAAAAGGTTTTCGTCTATAACAAGGGGTCCTCTTATAATAAAGATATAGCCATACTTGCTTACCCGTCTAAACTTGCCAATGACTATATTGTGAGAATTGATGTCGCCATGACAGACTTCATTTTGGTGAAGGTATTCAACAGCCTTTAGTACATCCAAGCTTAGAATAAAGAGACTTTCTATGTTGGCATTGAAACCTGTCTCCCCCAAAAACCTGCCAAGCGATTTACTGCTTGCAGCAGCAAAATCGAAGCAGATCACTCTTCATATGAAACAAAAGATTTTTAAAAATCATTTAGTAATACATACTGCATGCACCTGAATTCTCTTTAAAAAATTAAGGCTAGTTAATTATTAGCGGCAATGCGGCCCTCAAAATCCCCTGGGATAGGGTTTAATTGGGATTTTGAAAGTGTAGCACCATGACATTCAGAGCACTCAGGAGACTGCAAAATGTTCGAAATAATGAACAAGAGAATATGAACTAAGAGAAGGAAAAACAAATGATTTAAAAATAGCATCAAATTGTGCACATGATGGTTACAAGGCTATATAGGGGGAATTCCTTCTCTTAGTTCATTTTCTCTTGTAATGAATTAAAAAGTAAGGCCAAAATGTTTCAAATGTTGAAATACCAAGTAAGGTAACGTACAGCTTATTACACAAGGGAGGGGAATTGGTTTGTCGGGTGGGGAAAATTCGTCCATATATACTGAATTGTATAATTTACATATACATTCCTGGGGTTATGTAAAATAAAAACAACGTCTGCTTTTTTCATAAACTTACCTACAGTTTTGAGACAATGACATCCCAGGAATACTAACGTTGTTGCTATCAATTTCTAGCGAGTCGACTATTAGTAAAAGAAAGGAAAAATTCATAAAGTCTATCTTTTTAGTTCTTACTTGGTTTTGTTTAACAGATCAAAAACAGTTCGAGAAGCTGGAAACCACTCCGCTACGCGTCGTGGTTTCCTACGCTCCTCTCATGTTCTCCCAACATCCCGTGTGTTTTGATCAGAGTATCAAACACGGAAAACTGTTTTTGATTTGTTTTATAAAATAACAAACACGCCAAAACACGAAAAACATATCGTATTATTCTAATGTATTTGTAAAGGATGACGCGAGCGTGTTTTGATACCCTCATCAAACATGGTTTTCGACCAATCGTAGCGCGCGTACTTTTCCAATTATTTTATAATTATCTTTACATAATGAGAGAAGGATGTCTGCATAGAATTTATTTTCACGAACAACAGTTTCAACAAGTCGAGAATGGACTCTATAATTTAGAGAAAATGCATACAAACAACATACATCAAACCCTGCAATCAACCTAATTTTTAGGGTCTTTCAATTTCAAAAGAGCTCGATAAAGGTGTATTGCTATGGAGCTCTTTAACTTGGGCATAATCTCTTCACAATTCACAGCACCTGTACGTTATTCTCTTGGGATAATATTTTTTGTTTGGGTTTTTTAAGGCTCGATTACACGGTGCAAGTTTCTCTGCAGCTTTTCTCGCAACGGCGTTGCGACACAACTTGTTTGAAGCATTGCAGTGTGTAACTTACAGCGCAATATGAAAAATAATATTGCGAGCCAACTTGCAGCAATGTTGCAAAAAGTAGAATTCGTCTCCGTTGCACCGTGTAAACACTCTTGCAACTTGTGTCGCAATACTGGTGCGAGACAAATTGCAGAGAAAATCGCTCCCGTGTAATAGTCCCCTCCACAGTTCCCTGCGCCATCTTGAAAGGTAGCCGTGCCTTTGAATCGAAGCGAGACGAACGGTGACCTTGCAATGATAGAGACCTTTTTTAACACCTTGAACAATTATTCAGATGTCTCTGTCTCTGGGAGTGACACGTGGTCTGAAATGGGAAGACATTCCGCTGAAGATGAAAAGGTCTTTATGGGGTACGTTTTATTTGCCTGGAGCTGCAAAACTCGAATAATCTGTTTATAGTACATGTATGGAAGTCTTGAATACCAAACTGACCTTTTGAGTGCCATCTGTAGTTCATAAGATTATCGTGATCTCTCCCTATATTTATACGATTCAAGACATTAATCTCTTTCATCCATTCGTTATGTTTTCCAGGAGCAAATATCTTCAAAAGACCCATAGACTGGGAAGTTTCATTCCAACACGTGACATAAACCTACCAACAGCAAAAAAAAAAAAAGAAAAACATTCAGTATAAAGCTGCGCTAAAGATCTTTATAAAATAACTGTTATAAACCTCGCGTTCTGATTGGTTGGGAGCACGTGCTTTATGAGAGCACACAGCACGCGCGCACTTTCAATTTCGTCATTCTTGTAATTTGTATTTTTTAAAAGAAATWAAAAAACTTGCTTGCCGTAATGTGTGGAGTGAAAACGCATTTGGGGATTGGCAGGACACTCTAGAAGTGTCGAGAAGCACTCCGCTACATGTCGTGCTTCTCCTAACACTTCTCTCGTGTTCTGCCAACCCCTGCGTGCTTTATAACTGCACACAGCACGTGCGCGCGTTTTCTATTTCTTCCATTCTTGGGGTGCATAACATGAAAGTCATAGCCGCCATCTCGTTTGAYGACAAAGCATTCCTCATTAGCTTCTCTTTGTTAGATCAATTAACTAAGATGGCRGCTATTTCATTGTTTATTATATYTCGAGTAATGTTAGTCATATGGTTGCACTCCAAGAAAACTCCATTTTACAGATTCGTTCAGTGACCACAAATAGTAGTTCCAAGTCGAGGCTGGAGTTGCTGCACATAGCAAAACTTTTTTTTTATCATGCGCCGCAACTCCAACCTCGGCTTGGAACTATTATTCGTGGTCACTGAACGAATCTGTAAAATGGAGGATTGGATAATAAAAAATACGAGCTCCATTGTACTGGAGAAATAGAAAACGCGGAAAGCTATGAAGAAAACGGACGTCGATTGCCAGACCACGAAAAAAGTGTTAGGAGAATCACGATGTAGCGAAGTGCATTTCAACATTTCTCGATCAAATTCCTAGCTCACCTCATGCAACCGCTGGATAAACAAAATGACCTCTAATAGGGAAAACGTAAGTAAAATTTCCTTTCCTCTCCGTCAGTTCAAATATTTCGAAGGGGTTTACAATATATCTTAATTTTTAATGTGCCATTTTATAAAATAACCTAGACCTAGCTCATGCTCTGATTGGTCGAAATCCCGCATTGTGTCGTGGTTTCCTACGTTAGCTTTTCTCGTGGTTTCTGAGCATTCCGCGTGTTAGATCAAAGTATACAGAACAGAAAAGTGTTTTATTTTCCTTAAATTTAATGAAATAATAATTAGCAAACATTCGCCGAAGGCGAAGTGAATATCGGAGAACATTTACCGAGACGCGAGTCTTCGAGAGGCGAGGTAAATATTCTCCATATTCACTGAGCCGGACGCGAATAATTGTTTTAGCATATACCAACTTGTGTACAGAGTAACTTATTTTYATATACAATAATTCAATAAAAACAAACAAACAGAAACTTGCAGTTTGCGTGACAAATTCACGCAAAACTTTTAGCAAAACTTTTAGGCCATACTTCTTTGCCTTTTTAGCATTGAAAGGAATGGCATTTACTTTCATTTTTTCAATTTCCTGAAAACGATTGCCGGCAGATGCCATTTTGTTGCCGACTCAATATTCCGAGATTCAGAGGCGAATATCGTACAATATTCACCCCCAATTAACCAATGAGCGCGCGCGTTCTTAGGAAGTACACAAGTTGGTATATGCGAAAGTGATTTATAAAAATGATACTTTGCTGGCTTACCTTTCCTTTTGGTTTGATTGAAGTGAAAATGTCGCATACCTCGACAAGTTTTATTTTTCTCTTTTTAACTAGAGGTTCAATTTTCTTATTCAAGATCGAATGAACCTTTGGTCGTTGCGCTGCTTGTATTCTCTTCTCAAGTAGATGAACTTTGTTCGATGAAGATCTATCTTGTTGGTGATTGTGATTATCACGTACTAGGGAAGCAAAAGGGAAAAAGTACGATGAGATTTTGTTTACACACATTGCTCCCATCCACTATTGATCCTCTGAGTGAAACAAGTCAGTTAGGAGTTTGGCTGATTGTCAAGAGTCGTGGGGACTGAAAATGTCTTTAGGATTTATAGAAAAGTGACAAAACTTGCATAGAAAATGAAAAATGAAAGAATTGAAGAAAGTGGGGTTTTTTTCCGGTCAATTTCTAACATTTTAAATAAATTTTCAATACTGAGGACACAGGAAGATGAACAGCTCTAAAAAAATAKGTATTGCTTTAAGATTAGGATAACTGTTACAAGTAACTTCCGACACATTCTAAACTATTTTATCTAATATCAATGCTTCTGATGCTGTTGCTGTTGTTGTTGTTGTTGTTGCTGGTTGCTGGTTGCTGTTGCTGTTGGCGTCAGGGCAGGATAGGGAAGAAGGCCATAATGATATAAAATATAAATACCTGTAGAAAGAATCACCATTGAGTGGTTAGCATAACTAGCCGTAGACATCGTTTTCCCATAATCTATTAACTTCTTCTTGACATTGGCATTAGAAAACGTGTACAAAATCGGATTGATAGACGAGTTGACAGGCAAAACAAATACCGCAATCCACACGTAAGCAAGTCCTTGAGGGTCATGGAAGTCACCCGTAAGAGAAAAGATTCCTATGAGAATAACAGGCATCCAGCAACAGAAATCTGTCAGAACAATAAACAACAACTTTCTCGCCATCGCAGCCTCTTTTTTAGCATTCGTAGACCTTGCTGCATTGGATGCCTTTTTGACTGTCCAGAACATCAATATATAAGCAACAAATATAAACATAAAAGAAATGAAGTTCAATGCTATAAAAAAGCTTACAGAGTATTCCCATCCCGCGGGACGGGACGATGATAGTTGCAAAGGAAGGCACACAGATGAACGGCCATAAAATCCCATGTCTCTTTTAGTGTCGTAAAAATACGTCATACCAAACAAAGGTAGAAGTGAAATGAGTAGTCCAAATGACCAGATTATTAAGCACATTACTATTGCCTTTTTGTACGACAGTTTTCCGAATCTCATTGCAAAAACGATGGAAACAAAACGGTCGGCGGTAATCAAGGTAAGCATTAAGACAGACACCTCACTTGAGAGCATTGACAATGCTCCAGTTAATTGACAGAGAATTCCATTCCTCCATTCATAATCTTTCTTGAAGTACTCTCCTTGCCACTGAGCATCCTTGATGGCTATTATCAATAAATACACGCCCATTAGGAAGTCAGATATCGCCAGATTCGTCAGTAAATAAGAATGAACTTTGTTCTCTTCCCGGAACAAAACTCTCCATATTATAACRCCGATGTTTCCAAGGAAAGCAAACATTCCAAGGACCCATACACAAATCTGTAGCCCTTTGTTTTTCATTAAATCATCACAGCTGGAGAACTCGTCCACAGGAGAGTCACAATCCACACCTGGAATAGCCTTTACAGCATAGCAGCAAAGTGTGAAGTGGTCCAGCTTACTGAAAAAAATAGGTAAATAGATAAATCTCAATCTGGGAGGTAAAACGAGATAGATCCCTTGTCTTGAGGATTATGATCTTTTTGATTTTAAGAGGAAATGTACCAGGAACTCGCGTATTGTCGACTAAAATCGCCAAAAACTTAGTGACCAGGCAATTTGATTTGCCGGCCGCGCGCGTGCGTCTCCAAGAGCGGGAAAATGAAAAAATAAGAATAAAAATAAAGAAAAGACGAAAAGAGACCCTTTCAAAGATAGACGGTAAGTGAAATAATATTTATATAATATATTATATTAATATTTAAAATAATATTTATATTTAAAGTCAAACACAAATGTTTTTGTATGTTTACAATATTTTCCCATATTTTGACCAGGTGTGAATTTAGTACAAAGGGGTTTATATTCCCTTATAATTCATGTTAGGTGTTATTAACGTTTATTAGTTTAGTCTATTATTACAAAGTTAGATATATAGTTATTAAGGAACTCACAGAATGTTCAGATTCCTCAGTTGTTCGAATGTTTCGGGGTTTACAAATGAAAACTTGTTATTTTGAAGAAACCTGGATTAAGAAGAATTTGTTATGATACAAGTTATTATATAAGTTATGAAATAAATTAATAACAATTCAATAAATTATATGAATTACTAATAATTATACGTATAGCTTAGCAGTAAGATTTTCTGTTTCCAGGCAACATGTCATTCCCTTGAGTATCATTTTTTTCGCATTAAAAGACACATGAATATGGATACAACTCAAACAAAGAATCTAATACCCCATTCACACCAAGGCTTAAACATGTTTTAAAGTGGTTTAACTAAACAGGTTTGGAGAACTATCTACGAACACTGCACAATCTTTGGTATAATAATGCATGTAAGCTATCCTTTTTCTTGCTCTGGTAATATTTTAGAAAGTTTTATCATATTGCAGGTTTCTAGTTTCTCMATTTTTTTCCTAATGAAAACATAGTTCAACTAAACGCGTTTAGGTGTGAATGGGGTATAATTCTAAAGAGAATGACACGTGGTCTGGAATGGGAAAACATTATGCCCAAGTCAAAGAAGTCGATTAGGTGTAAAAATACACATAGCCTCATTAATCACAATATAGCAAATTAGTAAATAGTTTAAAGAAACCGTTTCAGCAATCACGCGCACAAAAATTATAGACTATTTTTTAGATTTTAAGATAGTTTATCCATTTAAAAATAGGTATTTTTTTATCTTTTTTATTTTATTGTTAAATAAACCCATATTGAACAACAATATATACAGAACCAATTATATAGAATTCTTTACAAACACATAAACTAGTAGTATATATATCTAAATTAAAGAGTCACGATACAAGGAATTTCACTTAAAATAGCCTGCAAACAAAAGTGTGCAAAATTAGAGAAATTTAGTCACGTAATACTTACAGTGTTTGCAATGAAACAAGACCTTGGAGTGTCCCAAATGATATTTTCTTAATCTTGTTGTCGTTGAGATACCTATGCCAAGGATAAATTGCTCAAAATTTTATTGTTAGAGAGATAATAAATAGTGTTGCAGAGAATATTGAATAAATAAGATAAAATTCCTATCTCCAAGCGCCCATGTAATATTCTGTTTATTATATAATTATCAATGAAGTATGTTTTGGCTTTTTCAGGCAATTCTTTCCGTGTATTTTTGAATAGCCATCGCAATGGTGTTATATTTTCACGTGTGAAGATATCAATTTTTCGAAATAGAGAAAAATAGATATTTCATAGGTAATTATGTGAAAGGTTAAAATACTAGGGTGAGGGTTTGCATTGAAATTCGTCTTGAACTTTAATGCAAACCCGAGCACGTGTGTTTTAACTGGTTTAAAATCAACCACGCCCTATTTCTATTGTTTGATGGAGGGTTKGAATTTCGGTGGAAAACCTGTCCCGGGTTTTGAAATTAGCCCTGCTCTCCCCTGCTAATAACAGTGCCACCCCCAACTTTAAATTTTATATTCCTAATATTATAGGAAAGACGAATGCTGCTAATAATGGGGAACGTTCTGGTTCTGGTAATGCTTCTATTGTGCTGCAAATGAAAATCAGGCTTTATACRTTACCATTTTGCCTGTCTTACCAATTGCATTTGGAAATTTGAGGCATCCCCACCCCCTCCCCTCTAGATTCGCCATTGAACTTGTCAAATATAGGTCACTAGTAACTGAGAGCCTTTCGGTTTCGTAAGTAGATAGTATCCTTAATGATATCTATATATACTTACAATACTTTGAGATTTTTTAAGTTACTGAATATTCCATCAGGTAATGCTTCAATACGGTTGTCTTGGAGATAGCTGGGACGAAAAGAAAAATCAAAGCCATTACTTGCTATTACAGCCCCAGCCTTTTAGCAAGGGCGCTATGTGAATGGGATAGTTTGCTTGTTTGATCTTTAACCTTAATTTATTAATATATTTTATCCAGCCGTGCTATTACTAAGATGTGGCCACARGAAGTCGTTCAAACCTGTATCTGTGTTGGACTGAGAAACCGCTAAGGTACATTTAATGGATTAAAGGTCGTTCAAATCAAGTTAAAACGCTAGCTTTTCATTCTCGCATATATTAATTGGTTACACATGCAGAACAACGAGAAAAGCTAAAACTGATTGGAACAATATATTACATTGTGTCCAAAGTAAATTGTCAATTCTTGGATACAAGAAAAAAACATGGCCGTTAATATGTGTTGTCGTTGGAATCTGAGCTCTTGATAATGGTTACAAACCATCAATAGAGGCTTTGCACCATCACGTGATGGCAGCCATGACAAGAGGCAGGAACTGACTAAATCTAGTCTTATCTGATTTACGTTACGAGAAAGAATTCGGTTTCCCAGGGAAAAAAGACTATATTGTCGTGCCCCGATTCTGTCATGGCTGCCATCACGTAATGGTGCAAAGCCTCCGGCTATTGTTTTGTCATATACAGTTATACTTACAGATATTGAAGATTAGTGTTATTCTTGAAGATGTCAGGATGAAGACGTTCAATGTGATTTGAACGCAAACTCCTGATAAACAATCAAACATTGTAGTGATTAGTAACACGAATAGATATGAATAAATGAACGGACCTTTAGTTAACAGATTTCACAACAGTGTACTTACAGCACGGTAAGGTTCAGTAACGTACTAAATGTGTCTGACTCAATGGTCCCAATAATGTTCTCACTTAGATCTCTGAAGTGAAAAAAGAAACCATCAATTTTCCACAAGAATACAAATAATGTTGAAATTTCCCTGGTCACAAATATTACTTCATTTGGTAACTAATTCCAGTTCGGCCCATTTCTGTGTTGTTAATTATATAAGTACTGCACCTGATTAACCATAAGGTCTAATTGATTGTTCGTTTAGGTTATGTTTATTCACAGTACTTATAGTACTTACAAGACTCTTAGTGAAGTTAGAGCGTTAAAGATATTTGAAGACAGGCTGCTTATAAAATTCGTTGACATTTTACTGAAAAAAAAGAGGGTAAATTGATAAATAAATAGGTGAAGAAATGAAGCAAGCAAAATAGCAAGAGAGCCAGCAACTTAGCAAGAATGCAAGCAAACAAACAAACAAACAAGCAAACAAGCAAA